GTATTTGATCGTTTTAATTTATCAACATTATATATATGTGTGTGTGTGTTTGTATGTATCTATATATATATATATATATATATATATATATATATATATATATATATATATATATATATATATATATATATATATATATATATATATATATATATATATATATATAGTTATATAAATTGTTGGCTTTGAGAGTGCAGAAGGTAAAAAATGATTCTTTTGAAAACAAAATGCATCACTTTTAATTACTTTTGACTTTCATTCAACATTTCCGTGTTGTCATAAAGTTAAAACCATTAATTTAATCATTTTTTTTTAATAACCGCAAAAATTTAAATTTAATAGATCAGAATATTTTTAAAAACATTCTGAATAGGGATGGCAATCCCGAAATCCCAGGAATTTGTAAAAATTGTTCATCCCAAAATTTCCCGGGATTTTGGGATCCTCAGAGAAAAGGAAAAGTTAATAAAGTTTAAGCTTATAATTGTATTTTAGTAATTTTTATATCGTCTTTGGTATAGTAGCTGTTTGGTTGTGTAAATATTTATTCTTTTTGCAATGTTTTATTTTTAAAACTCTCTTTTTCTGTATTTTCTGTATACATATGAACTTCTGGCGTGGTGTTCGCTCATCCGTAAGTTACTTTATGTTTTTTATGTATGTTTGTGTTCTGTCTGAACCTCTGGCGCGGTGTTCGCTCACCCGTAAGTTACTTTATGTTTTTTATGTTTTTTTATGTATGTTTGTGTTCTGTCTGAACCTCTGGCGCAGTGTTCGCTCACCCGTAAGATACTTTATGTTTTTTATGTTTTTTAATGTATGTTTGTGTTCTTTCTGAAACTCTGGCGCGGTGTTGACTCACCCGTAAATTGATTTATGTTTGTTTGTGTTCTGTTTATTCTATGATGCAGCAGGAGCTCAGTAACTAGCTACTTACTCCAACTACAAAACCTACACTCACCTTAGATTCCTGTATTTTGTTAGATGCAGTGTTTTTCTTAATGCACTTCCAAAATGTCATGCCTGGTTTTCTCAAAGTACTGTTGCGGGAAGTAACTCCTTTTAACTACTCCAGGTCAGGTCAGGATAATCAAGATCAATCTTGCTACTGGTATCACGTAACCCAGTACCACCTGCCACAAGCCCTGCTGTCTTGCAGAGTGTACTCTTCTTAGGCAAAGGCTAGGAGAAACAAACTCCGACTAAAAATTCTCCTGCCTTGGGGCTCTTGGTTGAGTAAAGGCTAGAGATGGTGTCTCGATAAAAACACTCATCTTGAGCAGATGTTAACTGCATCCAGCAAAACATCCCCTGTCTTGGGGCTCTTGGTTGAGTAAAGGCTAGAGATGGTGTCTCGATAAAAATACTCATATTGGGCAGATGTTAACTGCATCCAGCTACTGTCTTGTAGAAGGCCTCCTAGACAAAGACTTTAGGGGTAAGCAGAAAAATTCTGCTAACCAACCTCGAACCCCTTCTTCATCTATTAGGCTGGCGTAGATGTAACTTGTGTTACATTGTTTCCTGCCTAGGATGATAAATGCTGGATCTCCTTGACTCTACTCATAGAATTTTGCTTATGCCTCCTTGATAATGGCTATGTCAAGGCCACATAAGGAGCCTTATGTCACGGCTTAGGGTTAATTAACAGGACTGAGACAACTGCATAGCTCATTGATTAGGAGGCTGTGCTCTATCTATGTTTGAGTTAAGTTCTCATTAAACCCAAATCATGACAAAAGTAACCAAAAATTTTAAACCTAAAAAACCATCCCCACCACCTAAATGTTTTAATATATCTTTTACAAATATTTGCGGTCTGCGAAGCAACTTTCTGTCAGTTGAGTCTTACCTCCTGCAAAATTCACCAGACTTGCTTGCACTAAGTGAAACAAATTTAAATTCTGTAATTCCTTCTTCAGATGTCAGTGTTGATGGGTACTATCCTTTGATTCGTAAAGACTCCAATAGTCACATGCTAGGTTTAGGGGTATACATACGCATTAATTTCCCTATTTGTTGTGAAATCAGGTTTGAATCCTTTGACCATTCTTTTATGTGCTTTCGCCTAGCACCTCTTCACTCTATCACCTTTCTCTTTGTTCTTTATTGTTCTCCTTCTTCCCATGATTGCACTCTTTTAGATGATATCTCTGATCAAATTGACCATGCCCTCTCCCTTTACCCCTCTGCCAATATTGTTGTTGTTGGTGATTTTAATGCCCATCACACAGAATGGCTTGGCTCTAACACCACTGATCCTGCTGGCACTAAAGCCTTTAACTTCTGCGTTTCTCAATCTCTCACTCAGATAGTTAACTTTGTGACTTGTTTTCCTGACAACCCTAATCATTTACCTTCACTCCTTAACTTATGTCTTCTCTCTGACCCTAGCTTATGTTCAGTTTCTCCCTTTTCTCCCTTAGGTAGTTCTGACCATGCAATGATCTCTATAAGTCTTTCTTCTCGTACTTCTTTTTTGGGCTCACCTTATCATCGCACCACCTACTACTACCCTAAAGCTGACTGGGATTCCTTTCGTGATTTTCTTTGTGATGGTCCTTGGCTGATGTTTTTTCTCTCTCAGCTGATAAATGGGCCTCCTACGTAACCTCCTGGATTTAGGCTGGAATGGAAGCTTCTATTCCTTCTCATTGGTTTTAAGTCAAGCCTTATTCTACTCCATGGTTTTGTCCTTCTTGTGCAGCTGCTATATCCAATCTTCAAAAAAACAACTCTCTTGAGAACAAACGGCTATTTATTATTGCAAGAAATCGATGTAAAAAGGTGCTTTCTGATGCTAAACTCCATTATTCTCAGTTCCCTAAATCTCGCATCTTATCACAGAAGTTAGGCTCAAAAAACTTTTGGAAAATCTTCAACAGCATTATTAACAAGGGTAGATCTAACATTCCATCTCTTATTCATGGGACTGATCTTATTTCCTCTCCCAAGGATAATGCAGAACTATTTGCAAAGAACTTTTCTTCTAATTCCACTCTTGAATCTTATGTACATTCTCTTCCTTCCACTCCAGTCAAACAGGTTGACCCATTGTTAGACGTTCAAATCACTCCGGCTTCTGTTGCTAAAGTCATATCTCAATTAAACTCGTCTACAGCTTGTGGTCCAGACAACATTCCTGTCACAGTCTTGTTTTCCTGATCCATCCAGACAAGATTCACGTCACAGAATTGTTCTCTAGAACTTTCTTCAATTCTCTCTAAACTATTTAACAAGTATTTGACTGAGTCTTGTTTTCCTGCTTGTTGGAAAATGGCATCTGTGGTTCCAATATTCAAAAACTCTGGAGAAAATTCTGACCCCTCCAATTATCGTCCAATCAGTCTTCTTTCTGTTATTAGCAAGGTCTTTGAGTCTTTGATCAACAAATTCCTCACATCTCATCTTGAGTCAAATAAACTACTGTCAGACAATCATTACGGTTTTTGATCCTCTCGCTCTACGGCCCACTTGCTAACTGCTGTAACTGAAAGATTTTATCGTGCATTAGATGAAGGCAGTGAGGCTAGGGCTATTGCTCTCAACATATCTTTAGTTTTCGACAAAGTTTGGCATGCTGGTCTAGTCCATAAGCTTGCTTCATATGGTGTTTCTGGGAAAGTTTTTGAGATTATCAAATCATTTCTTTCTAACCGGTTTATTAAAGTCATCTTTGAAGGCCAACACTCTTCTTTATTTCCAGTAACTTCTGGGGTTCCCCAAGGTTCCATCCTGGGCCCTGTTTTGTTTCTTATCTACATAAACGATCTTCCTGACAACCTTTCATCTAAAGTAGCTCTTTTTGCTGATGACTCAACTTTATACTCCTGTCTTGACAAAAAGTCTTCTCTTTTCGATCGCCTAGAACAAGCAGCTGATCTTGAATCCGATCTCACTTCAGTAATAGATTGGGGTTCACAGTGGCTTGTGAATTTCAACTCGAACAAAACCCAGTTGTTTACTGCAAACAACTACCGTAATATGGTCAACATTCCTATATTAATGAATGGCAATCCTCTTACTGAGTCCTCCTCTTTATGTCTTCTTGGATTATTGCTTACTACTAAATTAGCTTCTGCTAAGGTTGCTTCTCTTTATCGTGCTCGCCATTTCCTTACTTCTGATTCCATTATCTACTTCTCTTAAATCTCTTATTCCTCCCTGTATGGAATACTGTTGTCATATTTGGGCTGGTTCTTCTAACGATTCACTTTCTCTTCTTGACAAGGTCCAAAAACACATTGTAAATGTTGTTGGACCTGGAATATCTGCTAAGCTTGAGCCTCTTTCCCATCGTCATAAAGTTGCATCTCTTTCTCTTTTCTACAAATACTATCATGGTCACTGCTCAAAGGAGTTATCATCTCTAGTTCCATCAACTAAAATTCATTCTCGTTTTACTCGTCATTTAGCTTAGTCTCATTCGTTTACTGTATCTGTCCCTGCATGCTCTAAAAACTTTTATTCATCTAGTTTTTTTCCCCGCACTTCAAACTTTTGGAACTCTCTCCCATCTTCATGTTTTCTTGACTCATACAACCATCAATTTTTCAAGTCTTCTGTCAACCGTTTCCTTGCTCTATAACTCTGTTCTTTTTTTTCCTAGTAACTCCCAACTTAATAGTGGTTGCTTGCAGCCTTGTTGGGAGTGAATGCAAATAAAAAAAAATTAAAATTAAAAATAAATAATAAAATAAAAAAACTCTTGCGCTTTCCAGTTTTTCCATTACCTGGCAAAAAATGTTCACCCGGGTAATTAGTTATTTTAAATTTACCTGGGTAATACCTGGGTATTACCCAGATAATTTTTTCAATTACAGCAGCCATTAAATTTTTTTTTTTTTTTTTTTTTTTTATTTTACTTCACCTCCTCAAGGCCGAGAAGGCCACTACAGACGAGGAGGCTACTTTTTTTTGTGGCTATAACCCTCTCTCAACTCTATAACTCCAAAACACGAACCTTGACGAACAAGGCCGCTGCGCGGAGAAACGAGTTG